TGTTTCACTTAGTATTAAAGCCAGAGACTTAATTCCTAGGCTATTCAGGCAACTCTGACTACCTGCTGAGGCATCGAGTTATATACATGAATATGAATTTTCCCACGTTCGCAGATGCATCCTGAAGATGAGTGCCACAAAGCATGAGAACTGGTTTATTGACTTTCTGTTGAATGACTCCTAATGTCTAACACTCTTATGAAGTATATTTCAATGGTTAAACTATACTAGTACCCAATAAACTTTCTTCAACACTTAAGGGGTAACAGCTATATCTTGACCACGCTGCGTATAACTGGTATGCATTATCCATTCCTATAGAAAGTCAGTAATGGGCTGAATAACTTAGTTTTGAAATCCCTAGTTCCGTCAATAAATGGTATAGTCTCGATTCTTCAAGCAGTATGGTAGTAGAGTTGACTTTCTAATAAATGTCAGCCACTATGAAATATATCTGCAGGGCTCTGGAAAACGAATATTGACATATACTCCACATACAATAATATATTTATCTGTAGATATCAGCAATTTATGGTGACTCCTTTTCTTGTATAGATACTGGAAAATCGTGAATAAATCATAGCAATGTATTTGGTCTTGCTGAGTAGAACTCAAATAAACTTCATCGTTTAATTTGTACGATTCATCGATTTACTACCGTTAGGTATTTCCAACCGATCAAAAGAAACATTGCCGATGGACGGTTTTCATTTTACATCGCAATCTGCCTTTCAGTTACTTAGAAACTATTTCTAAAGATCATTTCATCATTGCTGTAGACCACTGACTCTTCTCTCAGATTAAGGTGACTTGAGATCTCAAGGTCATCAATTCATAATGAATATACACTACATCACTCATGGGGTAAAATATAGAATTATCATTTGACTGTCTGAGACAGCCGTAGTTTAACAGACTAGTATTTATACTGGATGATGATTGAAAGTGAAATGGAACTTTGTACCGCGGCCAGATTTGAACCTGCGACCACTGGGTTTCAGTTGGTAAAGCATAGGGCCGGAAACCCGGTGGTCGTTAGTTAGAATCCGGCTGCATTCCAAATTTTCATTCCATCTTCAATCATCCCTCAGTATAAAAATACAAAATGTTCTGATTTATTTGTTGGTGTGTCTAGCTCTCAGTTGATTGTTGCACTAAGGAGGAGATGAACCGGCTGCTGTTGATATAAGGCCTACCTAAATACATCTTTTACTATCACTACTGGTATTCGAAACAATGGGTGCTGGCTATCAGCCCTAGTTTGAAAACTATCACAAATTAAGACACAGAAACGTGTCTGATGAGTCCCGAACAGGATAAAAAGTGAATCCTAGATTTGATTACTAGCAATCACTAACCAAATAACTAAAGGATCTTCAGAAGCTAACATCACCATAATAATTCACTTCAATCTGCTGCCAAGTGAAAACTTTAGCTCACGTTTTACATACACCTTTTTATCTTATTACCAGAAGTTATTATAGGAATTTTAGTTGCTTAAAGTGTAATCTTATCCACTATGAACAGGTTCGAAGAATCTTGATCGAGATTTCTCATCATAATGGACTGATAGTTTACAAACTTGACTTTCAAAATTAGTGTAGTACCAGTGAAATTTTCATATTCCTTAGAGAATCTCTTTGAACTGATAGAAAATTTAAATGGGACTTTTCGAAAAACATTGAGATGAGAAGTGTACAGATAGTAGTGTGAATAGTATAACAATAATTTCTGTCAGTTAGGTTGCTTTAGTGAGCATTATCTTAAGAGCAGAAAGCATACTTTGTTCAAGAATATCGATTAACAGAAAAAATTACTTTCAAAAATGGTTTGATAATTGACACTTTCCAACATCAGACTCACACTAAACTATGCTGATATTCAGCCAAAAAATGTTTTTAAGGATCTTTAAACACTGTAGAATGAGATGGGGAAAACATCAAGCCTTCATATTGACTGAAGATGAAGATATTTATCTCATATTGACAATAGCTGTCAATCAAAACATATCAAGTTATGCTAAACACAACCAGGTGAAAATACTTTTTACTAACTAGAACATAACCTGATAAACTGTTTTCTATGTTTTATTAGTCATCAGTCGGCAAGAAATTAGATTGCACCTCGTCGATTTTCCTTTCTCTGAAGTTATGTTGTCTATTCAACGCTAGTTGAATATGAAACGAATGCTTATATGGTCTGAAAAGTCAGTCTATATACAGTTTTAAAAAACGTTATAACTCACTCCCCATGCAGAAGAATGGACAGTACAATGTGAACGTTTTCTTTCACAGAAATAAAGAATAAAGCAGATAGTAAGGGTATGTATAATCCATTCCGAAGGCAATGAACAAAGATAACTCATGGTATCACTGCATAAACATGAAAGATATTTCATTTTCTATAATAATAGATGGTGCACATTTCATCCTGTTCGGGACTCATCAACCGCGAGTTTCTCCTTCTTGAACTGTGTCTAGATGAACAACAAGACAATCTAGGTAGTGGGTAAATCTAGCCGAATAGTATCAAAAACACCAAAATCGATATCTTAGATTCCATTGTCAATCGTTGCTTAGCACAACTAGATCTGAACTATGATTAATTTAAGATACTGGTGTTAGGTATATTGGCTCCAAGTTCTTCAGCATTTTTTTTACGCACATCTATACTGTCTGTCTTTTTTCACCTTAAAGGTTCGAAGAATACCTCTAGCTCTTGACTAGTAATACCAGTAGAATAAAATTATGCATGAAATCTCAGCTTTTATACAACAACAAAAACTCATAAAACATTAGTTGCCGAACTTTTTGTTCCGATAAACGAATCATACTATATTTCAATTTCATTGTCATGAAACATAAAATCCAAGTTGACATAACTGAGAGTAATTTCACATGTTGGTGACCAAGTTGTTAGTTTACAAAACACAACATTCACAATAACTAATACAGACAATGGATAGATAGGTATATATGTATATGCATAAATCATGAAGAAGGGATTATAAATAAGGAGGGTAAAAATGAAATAAAAAAACTGAAACATTATAAATTATAACCATAATGCATCTTTATATATGCCATGCAATTCTCTGTTTGTGTATTAAACAGATAGTAAGGATACTTTAGGAAATGAAACTTTAACTTTTCATGTATAGATTCTAATATCTTTGTATTTTCCACCTTTTCTGTTATACTTCTACACTTTCTTTATTACCCTGTGCCATTTTGTCACCGATATGAATTATCTAACTAAAACTTAGTCGGTTAACCTTTTCAAAACTATTAGCTATGAGTAAAAACTAAACATGAATTAGTATTATCTTAAATATTTTTGATAATTCAGTGAATGTTTATGCAGATGTACAGTCTATGATGCATAGGCAACATAAATTTCGATAACAACATTTCCAGGGGTTGTCATTTAACAAAATACATAATCTTAGCGTTCTTTCTAGTATTTTAGACTTGAAAAATATAGTTCAAAAGCATTCCAACAACAACTGTTGGTACAACGTCTGTGAGAAACGCGTTAGACAGCATGGAATATCTGAAAAAATATCATACTAGTGCAGGCAACACTCCACTCTAAAGAACTGTTAAAGTAGTAGTAGTAGTAGTGGGCGTTACTGATCAGACTGCATATAAGTAGTATATGTTGAGAGGGCAGTAGAAATCTATTTTCCTGACTTCCGATCTCGACGACACAATGTGATAAGCCTGCGATTTCTAATGCATGCCCACCAACTGTGTTGACCGTTAGCACACATGGTCTTATGTTCTGAGACTGATTCTTATCTATCAGTGAGACTGTCGCCCCGTATCTATTCGATGCATGATCTTTTGATCATTTATTTGCATCCTATTATACACAGCACTTCTCTATAGCTTCTACAACATCTAGTTTAGTCGGAAAAACAGAACTCATATTATATCGCTTAAAACTTTTACTTTTTCGCCATTTCGGACAGTTTCTCTGACAGCAACCCAGTTTTCCGCATGTAAAGTATTTACTGTGTCTGTTGACATTCGTTCGAAATGCAACCATCTCCTTCCAAAGGTTGTCGACTTGTTTTATCCAGTTTTTTGCTTCTAGTGACTCCACCGCAGCTAATGCTGTATCCATTAGCTGTCAGATTACCTTCGCCAACTCACTAATCTCCATGAGTTGTGCTGTGTTCACTAGTCATAGTTGCTGGGCGATGGCATTCAGGACACTTTCGGTGAACTGTGCAGCCATCAACTGTGCCTGAGAGTCCTCATCGAAGTGGTTTCGCCAAATTCACAACCGATACCAGCGGGTCCTCATCTATTCCAAGTTTTGTGCTCCAAAACTGCAGCATCTCCAGCTCCTTGTCCGCTGGGCTGTCAAACGCCGCCTCCAATCGTTCAGCCATTCTCTTCCAAGTCTCCTCCCCATCCCCATGTTCCATGCCATCATAGACCGCTTTCTCTCTACCCCTCAGCAACGTCTCAAACACCAAAACCTTCTCTTCTGGATCCCAGACACCCACCAGCTCCGCGGCTCACTCGAATCTTTATCGCATCCAGAAACAGCGACACCAATTTTAGAAAATTACAAGATGGAGACATCTTGTACAGTAGTCACAAAGCACTAAGACAATCATTCGCATAATGCGCTTCATTTCCTCTTCTCCTTCTATCTTGATTTACCCTTAATAAGCCCATATTGTTTCTAACGTTTCTCTAGGCAGAATCTTTACCTGTTACTGGTAATTTCCTATGATTTCTGCCACCCTCTCAACATATACTCACGTCCACCTTTGTAGTAGTAATAGTAGTAGTAGTTATAGCTTTGTGCAAACTCTACACAACATCTCTCAGACATGCACACAGAAAACTTCAAGTACACAAACAATCTACATTATTTGGACGGTGCACACGTACACATAACAATTAATATAAAGCATGCAGTCACCACTGAACACTTGTAAACTGAATACACATCTATATAGTCAAAACTATTTTCATTCCTACCATAAGTTTGAAACTGAACCTTTTTGTCCTCGTGTGCTGTAGAGAAAAAGGGAAAAGGTTAAAATATTAACTTCAACTCAAACTAATATCTCTGATAGATTTTTTTATTGAATTGCTTCACTTCGTTTATCGTCAAGTTTTATTATACATACTAAATGATAAAACAAATTATTGCGAAAAAATATCTCATTGCAATCTGAGAACAAGATCTAGATTTTCAACACCAATTCAGTCAAATCAGTGCTGCTATATGGCTCAAAGACTTGGCGAGTTACGAAAAGCATTTCCAACAAACTACAGATATTCATCAACAACTGACTACGCTGGCTCGATACTGAAGCTCAGATGGCCATAATAATGAGAATAAGCGATAAGGAGCTCACTGTGGCAACGAACCAACCAACAACCTATCACCCAACAAATGTGCAAAATGAAGTGGAGATGGATTGGACATGCAATGAGTAGACCGATTAGGGACATCACGCGCCAGACCAGGTACTCGAGTGGAACCCAAATGGGGAACGATAAGTTGGGCATCCCAGCTGAGGGTGACACGGAGGAGATTGTGTGAGGAAGAACTGAGAGCTTGTGGACTGTCGTGGTGCCAGGTTGCAAAGATTACAGAGAAGAGAGTGGAATGGTGACGTGCTACTGAAGCCCTGTGTTTCACGGAGAACCCAAGGGACAAATAAATAATATATAAATAATAATCTCAGTATATTCAGTAAGTAAAATTAAATATCTGAATATTATGGAGAAGAACGTTGACAAAACCATACGAATTGATGTAGTTCATCTGAAGCGTCTGAGTGTATGTGTGTGTTACACAAGCGCAATACATTTTGAACAATCTGATCATAGCTAAACTTATCACTTGGCATCCATGTTCTGTATAAACTATAACAAAGAATAAATGGGTTAAAAGATCAGAAGGTTTTTGGTTCAATGTGTGGCAGAGTCATGAGTGCTTCTTTCATAAAAGTCCTACACCAGGATGAAACATCTGTGGAGTACTCTTAGATTTTCAATAATTCTCCAACTATTCTTTAAATAATCTTTCTTGTCAGGTGCCGAGTTCGTAGCTTAGACGTTAAATTATAGATGGAAAGCAAAAGACGATATATTATTATAATGCAATGTAATAACACCTTGCCTTCGGAAACTTACCCACTCTTACAAATCCCCGCAGTATTTGAAAGATGGAGTCATATCCACTTGAGTCCATCACCTTACACTTCCCTATGATCACATGTATTTCGAAAGGACCCATCACAGAGAAAAATCCCAAAAAAGCCAGCAAGAAAAATCTAAATGAATGATTATATTCACCTATGTAACAGATATCTAACTTTCTTTATAGCTAAAAAACATATCACTCAAATGGACCATAAGGTTCATTTACATACATCTTTCAAATAGTTTTGGAATTTTGAGGAAGTTGTGGGGATTTGGAAATATTTCAAGTTGTTATGCATCGTAGACTGACATCAGCTGGAGAAACGAAGGAAACCTTGAAGCACTGGACAGCTACTTCGTTCTAGTATGGGACTCCTTAGCAGTGCGCACCCACGACCCCACCAGAGGTCGAACCCGTGACCTTCAGGTTCCGTGGCCACCACGTTACCATTGAGCCATTGGGTTTTTTCGAGGTAGTAGTTATAATGAAGTTTAGATCTTTTCTATTTATGTCCCAACAACTTGTTGTTATATTCAAACTTCCTAGATAATTCAGCTTTAATACTAAAAGAGATTACTATACCACCTTTTTCATCCCGTCTAAACTAACACTTTGACCCTGTATTATACTGATTATTCGTAAAATGAGTTATCTTTCATTTTATTACTTGTAGTTTTCAGTCATTGATTAGGCTGAACTGATCAACATCTTTTGGCATATGGGCTCCTTAGTGCATGCATTAATATTGCCTGTAGTTACAACTTAACAATTATCATGGATAGTGGCTAGCAGTTGAATTCAGAACGTGTTTTTCGTTCTATCTTGGACTTATAGACTGGGAGTATCTGTCTACCAGTGAGCGATTTTATTGTCTGCAAGACTTGGGGGACCCATGCAGGAGTTCTTATATCAAAAGAGGATGATTAGTTCCGTTCACTCATCGACAGGAAATTAAAGGCAATAACATAAAAGTTATGCCTTCCAGATAATGAGCAAATGTCATAATTCAGTAGCCTGCTCGATGACATTCAGGCGTTTAAAGTGGTCATTCTCGGGTTCGAGACATGTTGGGAATAATGTCACCAGCTGGGAGGCATACATCCAGCTGATGAGTGTCAAACAGAACAAAACGCGAGTCTTGGATCCCACTACTATTCATCATTACCAATGTTTATCTTTTGTTATAATTCATGTCCAGGCCAAGTAAGTGTAAGGCCAGACCGTTTAAAATGTACTGTTTCACATAATCAAATTCACTCTATTTAGTGGTAAACAAGTTATGAAGGACTGGTTTAAGAATTAAAAATCATCACTCACTATTCTCACTAGGGGGTTACACCTGACGTTAGAAAGGAGTCCTGCTGAGCTGCAGATCAGCTGTTTCAACACCTATGAGAATAAAAACTTTACAGATTTTATTTCACACTATGGAATTAGCCAACTCTAAAATGTAGACTACTGACTTCATGAAGATTCTTTATCAAAAAAAGCAAGCTGAAAAAATGGTATTCAAATCCAAGAGATGTGGTGGATTTGTAACAATGAAAAGTCTTTATTATCAAAATTTTTAACTGTTCTGTGATATATTATTAAATGAAGTAAAAATGAATGGTAAAATCTTAAATTTTTATAAGTAAGAACTGAAGTATACTGTGAAATATACCGAATTATCGCATGATGGATGGTAAGCAATATAATTGTGAAGTTTTAAATTACCTGCTGAAGCTCGGACATCTGAGAAAGTTACATTCTAACCTCCAGTCGGTATACATAATGAGATATCTGTGAATTTAGAATCGTCGAAATAAAGTCTTTGTTATGAATAATAAGTGGTTGAAGTGTAAACGCCCGATGGTAAGTAGGCATATTATTGCATGGAATTTTTTGTCATTGACTCAACTAAATTGGTCAGCCTCTACTGGCATATTGGCGGCTGTATAGATGCCTCAGTACTGCCTGTAATTTCACTTTGCTTGTGATATTGGATAGGGCCTAGCAGTGGAATCGAGGATGCATATTTCTTCTTATTTGCAACTTACCAGCTGCATGTACCTGGTCGATATTTTCCTCACTAGGACTCAAACGCAGTGCCCATCTCTTCAAATACTAGACAGTTATCCATTGAGTCATGATGCCCACTCATTATGAAACAACTATAGTTTTTAAGCAATTACTTGTAATTTTCCGTCATTGGTTGGACCAAGTTCATTGTCTTTTATTGGCTTATGGTCTCCTACGCTGATACTTCAGTACTGCCTGTAATTTTAACTTCCTAGTATGTCTTAATGATGAGCACCTGCCAACAGGTAATCTGAATAAAAAAAAGTTACTTGTAGTTTATCTTTTAACATATTGAGTCAAAACATCATAAATATTTCTATCCTAAATCGTTTCAATGAACGACCACTCATCCCATTGAGAAACACATTTCTTCCTTTTTACCAAGTCGGATGATTTCATGATCAAGTTTAGTTAGATTGAGACAGTTGGCAGGAAGTCCTAGATCTAGGTTTTGTGTTTGTTGGTATTCATCAGCAAGGTGTATCTGCAACCCGATGGAATTGATGTTCCGTCTAAGATTCGAATTCGATCAACACTTAGAACTAGACAACATGAAATAGGCTGCCCTCCAGTGAACAATAAATGTGGAATTTTATCTCTCTATTTACAGCAATATGCACATTACTGCCCAACTGAAAGGACACAAGATAATTTACTAGTCTTTTTAACAGTACTCCAACAAGAAAACCATACAGTATTCCTGAATATTAAGTAGTGTAGTAGTGAACAAAGTATACCCGGTCCTGCACAGCAACGGGAAACTACAAAAATATAACAATAACTGATACCCGTTGCACAAGAGGTGGCTATCGTACCTCAGTGTCTAAGTGGATAACGCTCTGAAGTTTGGAGCGATGAGTAGGGGATTCAAGCCTCAGTGGGAACAACACCGCTCTGCACTGGGGTGCAGGTACATCCAGCTGATGAGTCCTCAGTCGGACAGAACATGCATCCTGAGTTCCTCTGCTAGTCAGAGCAGCAAACATAACTGTAAAAACGTTTTAAATAAAAAAACACACCGAGGTTATTAAAAACTTTTTACTGGTGAAAAATCCACAATTACTAAGCCTGATAATTATGATTACATAAGTGAGATGAATGAAATACTGAATGATGAGATGAAATTTCAGAAACTGAACGTTAAAAAAGGACCCAAATGAACTAAATCTTCAAAGAAGCTGATAGTGTAACGCATAATATCATCAACCATGTATGATGCCTTGAAATCAACGGGTTCTCACGTACCCAGACTATGTGGCCTGCCTAAGACACACAAAGCAGGAGTTCTGTTAAGACGGATTCTTAATTTTCAAAATTCTTCTTACCATGCTCTACAGGAATAGGTGGTCATTATTTTCCAACCTTTATACAAATAGCTAGTAAACAATTCTGTGAAATACATAATGAAATTTATAGACAGAATTAAGGATGTTAACATTATGAATGAAATTATAATGTCATTGAGTGTAAAATCTCTATTAACCAATGTTCCTCTTCTTGAAACAGTCAACTATATAGGTGAACAGTTGAAAGAAAAGTATATCAACATTGGAATCCCGATAGAGGTCCTCAAAGAGTTATTACTCAAACGTACAATGAATTTTAATTTTCAAATTTAACGGAGAAGTATACAGACAAGTGAATGGAGTCTCAGTGCGTTCACCGTTGGATTTCATATTGACGGACCATTTTCTATCGAAACTAGAGAATAGTTTTTACCTGAACGATTTATTTTACTGTCAATCCATGGATAGGTAAAAGATACTTAGCAAATTCAACATAGTACACTAAACGATGA